TCACCCCATGGCCAACGGACTTGTGGAGAGATTTAATGGAACTCTCAAACAAATGGTTCGCCGCATGTGTCAAGAACGGCCGCGACATTGGGACAGGTACTTGGCTCCCCTGCTCTTTGCATACCGTGAAGTTCCCCAGACGAGCCTTGGATTCGCGCCGTTCGACCTCCTCTACGGCAGATTTGTACGCGGGCCAATGTCGATCCTTAAGGAACTGTGGACAGGTGCCAACATCGATCCTGAAACGAAAACAACATACGAGTATGTTATAGATCTCCGGGAGCGACTGCAAGACACCTGCAAGGTAGCGCACGAAGAACTCCTGAAGGTGAAAATGACACAGAAGAAATATTACGATAGGAAAGCAAGAGTTCGACACCTATCACCCGGCGATAAAGTATTGCTGTTGCTACCATCAGATAAGAATAAATTGATCTTGACATGGAAGGGACCCTTCACAGTGCTTGAAAAACGCAGTGACTATGACTACGAGATAGATCTCGGAACTCGGAGAAGTCTTTTTCACATTAACCTTCTCAAGAAATACCACGAAAGGGAGCCTATTGCTTACGGAGTATGACTTTGTGGTCGAGTACATTAAGGGCTCCGACAACATAGGTGCCGACTACCTCAGCCGCATTTGACTTCTCCGCTGGTTAGCGTTTAGTGGTGGCACGATTTTTTTTCATGTTAATTCACCCTTTCTCTAGCGGAATGAACTTCTGTAAATGTTTTTTTTTTTTGCTATGTTTTCGCTTTTGGGTACTCCACCTCGCGCGCTTGTGAAAAGTTGTGTTCCCCCTAAACAACTTTCTTGAGCAGGGGGATATTTGTAAGGAAAGGACACAAAAGTGCTGTGCTTAGGTACGATTTGTGGCTAAAAGGACTTAAAAGCGCCGAGGGACGCCAAACCGAAACTGAAGAAGACGAGCGGAGGGCAGGTGGCACGAAGGCGATAACAAGAAAGGAAAAAGAAGAGGAGAAGAAGAAGGAACGTGCGAAAGCGAGCTCGAGCGTGGAGGCCACGAAGGCAGACGAAGCAGTGCGCCGCTCGAGAGGCCGAGTTCCTGGGAGCGTTCCTGAGCCGGACGTGGGACCCGTACGTGTCGGCCAGGTCGAGCTCCGGCGTGTTCGCTCGGGGTCGAGTCCGCCGGCCGGTACAAGGTGCAAGGACGGGGCCTGCTGAACGGCTCCTGCCTGGGTGCAGTGGCCGGGAGCAGGTTCGTGGCGAGGCCTACCGGGCGTGGTCCTCGTGAGCCGGGGCCTGACCCTGAACCTCAGGAGTTGCGACCCTGACTGCTGGCCGCGACGTCTGACTAAACGGCGCTGCACACGGTAGCGCATCCGTGTGCCGTCAGCCGTTCCAGCCACTCCAGCCGTGCCACCTTTGCCCTCGCGCACGTCGACGATCGCATCATGTCGGGACGACGGGGACCCAAACTGTGAGGCAGCGTTTTTCTCTTGCGAACTGAGAACTCTACGCGCTGGACTCGGAGTAAGCGTAGCCGCGAGCTCTCCGCATGCTAGAGGTCTGACTCTCGTACATGTTGCGTGACGCGTGGCGTGTAGGGTTGGACATATAGTTTTATTTTCACCTGCCACTTCGTTCTCTAGTGTATAATATAACGCTTCTTTTGTTCGCATCCATTGTTGATGTTAATCCTTTTTCGTCCGCTATCAACAAACACAGTGACGAACGTCCTTAACCATCACAATTTCTGGCGTCCGCGACAGGACTAAGATCTCGCCTCACATCTGAGAGCCTCACGTTGTTTGTTTGTGGCGGACGAGGATGGACGACAAGAGAAAGCTAGTTGAGCTAGGGAAGGAGATGGGGCTGAGTGGTGAGGCTCTGCTGGCATGGGTGAGCACGGAGGAAAAAGAAATGAGGGACCAGAGAGCGAAAGATCGAAAGGAGGCACGGCTAGCAGCACAGGTGGAGCATGAGCGTGAAATAGCTCGCATGGAGGCTGAAAGGCTCCTGCTCGAGGAGCGACGTCGTGTCGCAGAAGCGCAGCGGCCGAGCACGAGTTCTGCGGACGATAGTATGGGTGGTGGTCAGAGTTTTCGCAGCCCACACAAAATGATTCCACCCTACAATGAGAGTAGGGACGAACTGGATGCGTACATCCAGAGATTTGAGAGGGTTGCCATGAGCCATGTGATCACATTCGCCTCGATCTGAGCAAGGGTAATGTCATCACTGTACACCGATGACAGCGTCATCAATGCTGGCATCAATTCGGCGGTCATAGGTGGCGCAGGCGTTGGTTCCTCATTTTCGACATCGGAGTCGTCTGAATCCGCCCTAACCTGACTGACTATTTGGTTGTCGGTTAGCTCTGCACAGAAGTCGAGCTCGTTGTCAGCGTCGACGAACCGCTCAAAAGTTATTTCCGTGGGCATGGAAGTACCAGCAGTGCGGAGGTCGTTGATAATATCGTCCATGAGAGGGCACAAGTCAGTCACGCTGTCGCTTTCTTCAGGCAAGTGTGCTGCCGCGGGCTTTGTACTCTGTCGAGTACGAAGCCCGCGAGCGAAAGCAGTTGCGAAGCGTGTCTTGTGTTACTGCCTTCCATGCGTCCGCAAGCATTCCGACAGCAGACCGAAGGTCAACGCTTTATTTAGCCTTTCCCGTTTTTATTTAGCCTTTCCCGTGAACGGTACAAAAGTTTCAGATTACGGATAACGCCTTGGTACATCGGTTGGAGGATCGCAGTCGTGTTGGGCAGCATGAATTCCAGCTGGATAGCCTTCAAGTTATGGATGTGACCATGAGCAGCGCAGTTGTCAACGAAGAGCAGAACACGTCTGTTCTGTTGTTCAAGCTTCCTGTCCAACCTGCAAATGTAACTCTCGAACAACTGCTGCGTTACCCATGCCTTTTTGTTGGCTTCATATAACACTGGCAGCGTTGCCCCTTTAAAACACCTCGGGCTATTGGACTTCCCGATTACTAACAAAGGAAGTTTCTCGCTGGCAGACATGTTGCTGCCGATAAGAACGGTCAGCAGTTCTTTGCTATGCTTGCCACCATGGCATGCGTCACTAGTAAAAGCGAGTGTTCTTTCCGGCAGCAGCTTGTAAAACAAGCCTGTTTCGTCGCAGTTGAAAATGTTGTCAGCAGAGAACTGCTGTAACGAAGACTGGAGTTTTCCACTGCGGTGCTGTGCAATAACTGCACTGCTGACGGCGCCGCTTTCGCCACACATCTTGAATTTGAGGTCATTCCGATGCTTAAAGTTTCTCAGCCATCCATCACTGAACTTAAAATCCGTGATGTCCATTCGAAGCGCGAGAGTTCCCGCTTTTTGTCTCAAAATGCAGCCCGAGACTGGCAACCGCTCGGCAATCATTGAATTAAGACACACGACGAGAGCGTCCTCAAGCTTTGCATGAACATCTTGGGTTGCCTTCATCTTTTGGGCACCAGACGGTTTTTCGGCCGCTTCCAAGATCTTGTCTTTGTTCCTCAGGAAATTGGAAACTGTTTGCTTGGAAATACCGAACTCCTTGCTCACGTCAGCCTGCGATCGGCCACTCTTCCCTAACTTAATAATGGCGGCTTTCTTCTCCATCGTTAATTGGCCGTAATGTTTTCCGCGCTTCGATGCCATCGGCGAGGACGACGAAGACGGGTGGAGGCCATCGCAGGCAAGCGAAATCCTCACGATATGAACAAAGGAGTTTGCTGACTAGCGTCGAAGCACCTAGGCTCAGCGTTGCAGAGCACACTTCACACGATCACACAACCACGCATTAGGCTTGCCGAACACCATGTGGGCTGCGTAAACAAAACGGCGCGATGGCAGGTGACGGTGCCTCGGGTACTCCGGAGGTGGCGCTGGTAAACATTCAAGATAGCCAGCGTGGCCAGATCAAATCGGTGTGTGACGGTTAGTTCTAGTTCGAATTGGTGAAACGCTTCGCGAAAGCGCTGCGCGGGAAGCCAGAGTGGCACGCACGAGCACAAGCGCTAAAGCAAAAGGAACTTTATTGGCTCCAAAAAATTTCCGGGTGGATAGTTTTGATTGTCAGCGAAGCACCCTTGCACGATAAACACGGCCAGTGTTAGAAATCTCGCCGGCCGTGTCTGTTTCTTCGCTAACGATCAACGAGTCCGAGCAATAGATGCCGCCACAGTAGACCGGCGCACTCATTTATGCGATCGTAATCACGTGTGACGCAGTTGTGGTGGTTTCCACTGGAGGTCAGTAATGGTTTCTGACCTTCTCTCACGTCAAAAAGTCCGGAAAATTGGACTCCGGGGGTTTTGAGCATCCGAAATTTCAGACTTCCTTATACATTGATTCTATGGGGCTCGTGGCGGTGCCGCGAAGATGTCCGAATTATCGGGCATGTCCGAAAATTCGGGTGTCTGAAAAATCAGCAGTTGACTGTACATCCTTAGTTTGCAGGGAACGTTTCAGAAGGAAGAAAGAGCAGAGAGATAGGACAGAGCGCACACTTACAACCACTTTTATTGCACATATGGCGGAAATATATATATACATATACAGTCGATGTTGTGAATATATATACAGGTGGCCTGGCGCATGCACCATCATTTGTCCTGCATTCTGTGTGTGATCTCCTCGCCCTCTTGAATGTATATATATACTCCCGCCATCTGTGCAATAAAATTGGTTGTAAGTGTGCACCCTGTCCTATTTCTCTGCTCTATACTTCTTCTGAAACGTTCCCTGCACACTAAGGAAGTACATTTCTTTCAAAAATAGTTAATTAATTTCTCTATAATTCATCTTTGTACTTGGCAGTCTCTATCATTGCATTTCAATCGTCTAAATGAAAATGCAAAAGCACTCAAACTAGAGTGGTCATAAGCTTTGCACGAAATGTAATTTAAACTAAGCCAACATTGACTCAAGGAAGTGAACAGTGATGAAAAAAAAAACAGTAAAGAAAACCCTGCTGATAGGTGATATCGACCAAGCGTAGCATGCATTAACCTCGTATGTCTACTTTCGTGCTTGTTCCAGGAAGAGAAAGACATTCTCCGCTGCTCTCAACTTCAAAAGCAGCTCATTCTTGCTGCTATCGACTGTGCCGACTGCAGCGACAACAAGCCAGGATACATTGTGTACAGCACCTGCTCGGTTATGGTCAGTGGCCTCAATACACTTTACCCTACTATTGTTCTGTGTACACATTCACCATCCTGTGAGCTTCTTGTGAGTGAGTTTTGCTGCACTATTGAATGATCATGGAATGTAAATGTTTTCGTTTTTCTCTGATAGCCCGAGGAAAACGAGTGGGTAATTGACTACGCCCTTAAAAAGAGGAATGTCAAGTTGGTGCCGACAGGGCTTGACTTCGGCCGGGAAGGCCTCACCAGGTAAGGCTTACGGGCTCTGAACTCTGTCCTCACTAATGGTATGCCCGGGTAGTTGTCTCAGAGTGCTCTGGAAGTTCTCAGAGATTGACGTAAGAGAGCGACTAAGAAATGCCTCTGAAATAAGCAGGCCAATGCATGATGATTAAGGAGGAACATGAATCGTGTACTTGCTTGTTGGTGTTGTAGAGCTTTATAGCTGTTGAATTGACCACTTACAAACACGATCAGAGTGCTTGCAAATGAACGCTTCAACGAGCCACAATTGTTCTTTCTCTTCTATGCGTAGTCGTAGGCAAATAAAATGTAAACAAAACGTCACAAAGTAGAACAGCTTCTGCGTGCTATGACTCGGAGTTTTCTCTCACATTGCCAATTAATAGAAGTTTCTGGCTTATACTTTTGACACAACCATGTTACCTGAACATTGGATGGAATCTGCGCGCTTACATACTTTTGCGGAACATAGACATACTTACATGGAATGTAAACCACTTGTTGGATATGTTGCGAATTTCGGCGTACCTTGCGAATTCTCCTTCGTTCGTGGCTACTCGTGGTATCTGATTCGCGGAGACTCCACGTGCTGTGTCAAAATACTAAGCCGCTTTGCGAGCAGTGTGAGCACCAGTCAAGACCACATTGTTCGAGATGGGTTAGCAAGGCTAGACTGACCTAGAATACCGAAGCTGTAAATGTCAGGTGGTGGTGCCATTTAGCGTGACTGAGATGAGCCAAGCAAGCTCAAAATTGTTATTGCAAACACATGGAGCATTCTAGTTAGGGTGTAGATGCCTTGCAGTTGCGTAACTGCAAGTGAGTTGCCTTTTGAATAATTTTGAATCGTGTTTTTAAACACTAGGTCAAAACAAACGTATCCATGACTGTGGTTGCACCACAGTTGCCTGCGATATATGGTGCGGGCATAGGATTTTTTTTCACCTCACAATAAAGAATGTGGCTGCACCATTGTCGCTAGCCTAGCGCAGTGCAACAGCCTGCGAAAGGTGGTGAAGGTCAGAACTGATGAACTGGATAGCATTAAGACACAAATTAAAAAAAAAAAAAAAACATAAAGACCGGCCTTGAACTGAACATAATTTGTTTTGTGCAGTAAAACTGATCGTGAACTATAATCGTGCTCCTTAAATTTTTTTGATAAGTTTTGATATTTTTTTAAGCTGTACGAACACAGTTAGTGGTTTGCAAAAATGTGAAGGTATGCATTAACGTACGTACATAAACGTTTACTTAGATAAGCTAAAAGATGCATTACTGTTTACCAGTATACCAAACTGTGTTTACTGGGTTATGTGGTAATGTCCAAAAGTATAGTATGTACAAACTGAAAATTGGTTTAGGTCTTACAAAAATGCAATTTGAAGTCGTGCCAACCTCACGCATGCTACTAAAAACACCAACAGAAGAATACTGTTTAGTCAGCCTTATCTTGTTCCTATAAAATCGAACCCCTTCATAAGAGACACTGATATATAAGACAAATCGGTATAAAAATGGGTATAAGAGACACCAGTGTGCCTACAGTAATATATGGGTTGATAAGAAAATGCATATGAGGTACCCTGCTGCTAAAAGTCATTTCATATAAAAGACAAGAATAGCTGCCCGGAGCATGCCTCTTATAAAGGGGTTCAACTGTATGTGTTTCGTCCGTGACTACAGTGCAACATTTAGCTTCTGAATGTGCCATGCACTCTGTTGTGGTCTCAAGCGTTTTTTTTTTTTGTCCTTGCAGCAGAGAGCGATGTCACAAGATGTTCTATTCTCTCCGACAGGTATCGTGAGCACAGGTTTCATCCTACACTGAACAAGACCCGGCGTTTCTACCCACACTCGCACAACATGGAGGGCTTCTTTGTGGCCAAGCTGAAGAAGTTTTCCAACACCATACCCATGACTAGTGCGTAACACTCCAGCTCAAAGTTTTGCCACCCTTTCAGTGCTGCGGTTGAACGTGCTCATGAAAATTGCGAATGAGTTTTGCGGAATGCTGCATGGGGACATAGGGTTAGAAGCATAACATATCCACGAAGTGAATGAGGATGGGTGGGTGAAGTAGTGGGATCGTTCGGTGTTGCCATAAATCACCCGTGACATTGACCACTTTTGCATGTAGATGTGTGTCCAAGCGGTGTGCAGTTATATGCAATGTTTTTCGGTCATAACTGGTATGTTGTGTTGAGTTGTGAATTTCGTTTTGCCTTTATTATTACTGCTTCCTGCTATCGCATCTAGCCTAAAGTCGGCAAAAACGAGGTCTGGGCACGTTTGCCTGGTGGTTGTTAGTTGCTTCCAGTCGTACGAAATGCATCGTAGAGCATATCGAGACATCCACTGCACAAGCTCGTCCCTGTCTGTGATCGTCATCAGCATCATCGTCATGGCGCATAGAGGGTAGCTTGCGTGCGCTGTGCCGTGATAGTAGAAAGAGAATGTGTGGTCTGGAACGCGCTTGTTATTTTTCGTCACGAGCGTCATCATCACGTCAGCAGCAACTACGGCTCACAGCGCCCATGCCAACAGACAAGCCTTCATCTTAAGGAGCTTCGCCCCCAAAAAAATGGAAATTTAGAACCAACCGTTTGTAGCATGAAGCCACAAGAAAATCTATGTGGATTACTAAGAAAGAAAGCTTCTTAGTTGCAGGAAAATTTGTCCTGGTCTGGGGATTTAACCTGAGACACCTTTTCAGGGCAATTGGTCTACCAGTTGAGCTACCCAAGAAATTGGCAAGTGGCATCGTGGCGGATGATATAATCATTTAATAATAATTTGAAGCACATGAGCACAGAATATTGTAAATGAGATGCGGCTTCGCGCTACTAACAGGTGTTTTTCAATTTTCCTTTCTTAGCACTCATAAAATATTGAAGTGCCTTGAAAATTGCTCTGTGGCAGACAGTAATTCTTACATGTACGGGTTTGCAAAAAAAAAAAAATAGATAAATGTGGCAGGAACTGGCAAAGCTGTTGTTACTTATAATGACAACATTGCCCGTGCTCACTCATTCCCTCTTTTTTTCTAACCAAGGGTGGCATTGGCTCGTTCAACGCCAAAAGCAAACTTTTTTTTTTTTGTCAAGCAAAGCTTTGTGGTCTTTTTACTCAAAATAGCGGAACAGCAATAAGGCTTCAGTATGGAATTTACGTTCATCCTAATCTGCTTTATCTAGAATTTCATCCTCCTCCTTTTTCCTGTTCTGGCTCTCGCACCTCACCGTGGCTCTCGCACTTCTGTCCAAAGGATCACACTGCTCCAAACTTTATATGAGTTATATGGATTTTGGTGACAATGGTGGGGGCATAGTAGGTGAAATACCTGGTGAGTGTAGGGATATGAGGACCTCAAAAGTGCATTGGTCACGGGCATATCTGTATGTGCCATTTCCAGCAGTGGATGCCCTCTCTCTTGTCTGTGATCAGCTGTTTCAGGTATGCGTAATCCGATCATTTACTGAAGTCGCTTGTCATTTCACGCTGCAACAATTCTTTCCTCGATACAAATGTAAGGAAGAGGAAGGAACGAGAAAGGACAGGGAGGTGTATGGCTGTTATCACCTGTAGCAGCAGATGTCAATGTTGTGCTGCTAAGCACCTGGGTGAACGTTCGATTCTCAGCATAGAGGAAGGAAAAAAAATTTAGGAAAAGGTATTGCGCAGTGTGATAAATAGAAAAAAAAAAAGAAGTACTTGTAGGTCAGGTACATGCACACATCAAGCACTCTTTGCCTCTCGTTTACTCAGTATGGGAAGGGCTGCTAATTTTTTTTTCTCTCATTTCAGCCATCACAGAAGAAAAGGAACAAGACAAAGACGTGGAGTCCAAAAAAGCTGCTTCAAGCGTCAAGTCCTGATTCGGAACCCGCAAAGAAGAAAGCTAGGTTGGGAAAAAAACGACCCAACTTCTGACAAACTTTCCTCCACCTCCTCTCCAGCAGTCCAAATCAAGAAGGGCAAGAACAGGAGAAAGAACCTCAAAATGAAGAAAAAGAAGAAGCTGCAGAAGCTACAGGCCAGCAGGGATAAACCGCAGAATAAATCGGAGAAGCCTGACTATGGCAGCAAGGAACACGAAACTGGACAAAGCAAAAAGCCCCGGAGCCAGCCCGAGAAGGTGCAGTCAAAGAAGAGCTCATTCCAGAAGAAGGATGGCCCTGGAAAGACAGTCCGGAAACCGAAGAGGAAAAAGTTTCCCACTGCAGATTGAAGGGCAAAAAGGGGGAGCTGTGTATTAAAGATTTTAGGTCAGTGGCCTAATTTTAAGGTCGTGACTGTGCTGAACCCTGTCGTACCCAGCACATTCTATATGGTATGTCATGTTCTTCGTTTCACAAGCTGTTGGTGAGTAAAGAAGCATCTGCACATTTTTAGTGTGGAGTACAGCCTAAAAAAGTGTTTTATCCCCCTTTTTTAAGGAATCTATTTACTATCACGAAAGTGAAACGTGCCCTCACAGAGGTAGTTGAGCATTTATTGTGCATTCTTTCGCCGCAAGGGCGAAGAAGTGAATGCTGCAGCAACAAAATGCTACGTTACGCAAAGAACGGCAGGTAGGTCAAAATTTGCAGCGCGCACCTCACACAGAAAGCGCGCACGAAATCTGCATACACAGGACGAGCGTGGACAAACAGCTGTCAAATCTCGACACTTGAAGCCAGCTGCTCAAACGGAAAGATGCGCGAAACGAATGCACAAGTACATACAGGACAAGCGGGAACATTTGTCACAATTCTTACATTTTAGTGCGTGAGCAGCGTGCTCCTTTCGTAAACGTGGTGGCGAGCGAAGTGACCCTCGTGCTTTCTTCAACCACTGTGACTTCGAAGTGAACTTGCAGTGGAAGAACATGAGGTGCAAAGCGTTTATATCCCGAGATAAAGCGCGCGAACCCATCGCGCCATGCCCTCCCTTCTAATGGCGAAAAGGAGCTGAAGTGGCCGAAAGAAGTAGGCTGCTAATTCGACGCTCAGTTAAAGTGCTTTTCGCTCTTTTTTTTTTTTTTTGCAATCTCATAGTAAACATTTCACCACGCCATATTCGTGACGGGAATACGTAAGGAGCTGTGGTGGACCCCGGCTAAAACACCTTCGCGTTCAAATAAGAAGTTGGGAAAGAAAATGTAGTTACGTAAGATCCCATACAATATAGGTATTGGCACGGAGAGACTCGTGATCCCCTGTGCGAGAACTGATGATGCAGCCCATGCAATGAGGTATGCAGGAGGGCCGACTCCGCGCGCCACCGCAAAACCCATCCGTTCCTGAGAAATCGTGCAACACGGCTGCTCAGTTTTCTTTTTTTTTATTTCACTTCATTTTTTTTCACAAGGATGGAAGGTTTTTCGGAGTCAACATTCCTGGCGGGAAGTCGGCGTTTAGCAAATCTTCCATAAATCCCCAATTCTCGAAAATACGGAGTTCATTTTTTTTCATTATTTTCAATAGTGCAAAGTTTCAGATGAAACAATATCAGGACACGAAAACGTCGTGGAGCGTCTTTTAGAAGTTGTCTGGCGGCTTTGAACACACAGGTACCTGAATTCAAAACACGCGCGCTTGTACTTTGTACAAACTTCGATGCAATAGATGCAAGCATACTTTACGAGATTTGTAAATTAAAGGCGAAGAATTTCCTTGCGTCCTGTCAGTACATTTGGTGTCTATCTATGTATCTATCTGTCTAGCCGCCTACGTCTGTATGGAAAGGTACAATATGGTTGGACGAATACGACTCACTAGTCATGATATGAATAATGTCACAATCCCACCGGACAGTGGCACATAACCGTGGACAGGTATACGTGCCACTGGTATGTGCTACAAGTTATTGAAACTATTTCTATCCAGGAACGGGGAATACATGGGTAATTTTAATGCATGAGCGTTATGAAAAAGCTGACATCGGTCGCGTTGACCCGACGAATGTAAGGAAAAAATGTCAGGGTTCCAGCAGAAATCGAACTCCAGCATTCCACCAAAGAGCCACGTCGGGTCTCGCAACTGCTTTTTAAATAGACCGTGATGTTCGTGCTATTTCATTCCTACAAACAGTGCATACGTAGTCCTATCATACAGCCGCCACGTCGGGTTAACGACAATTGTAGTGAAACGCACTGAAGCTCATTTAACTTACAGCGTTCAGGGCCGCCATCTTCGCTGGCGCAAGCGCTGCATATTAGCTTATCGCTCGTGGTGTTACTACTACTCACGTTTCTGGTGGCATCGTGACGCAACAGTAAACATGCGACTGCTTAACATATGTCTGTGCTTACAAAATTTGTACCTATTGTTACGGCAGCGTCATTTCGTAACGTTCCGGCCAATAAAATATTTGAGCACACTCACCTTCCCTCCGCATGCTTTACATAACATCGATGCCCAAGTTACATGGAATTTGTCGATTTTTTTAATGTCATGTGGTGCGCCCCTATGACATCAGGGAACCGCAAATGATTTCTTGCGCCTCGGGAACCTACGTAGCTTGACGTGTGGAAGAGTTACAACAGCAGAGGATGTTCATCGGTTAAGCCGATGTACAGCCTGGTCATAGTTAATCTATGCGATAATGAGCACAGTGCCTTCTATCGAACAAACCTTTAAATACCCCTTATCCTCGTGAACTTCCTTGCGTGGATCTACACAATGTACACATGGCGGCGAGAAAGTGAGAATGTGTGATGCTATCCTGCACATCTTTCGTCTAAAAATGTCGTAAACGGTCAAAAACGTTTTCTTACGGTATGCATTGCGGAGAAGCCTTGCATTGTGGGTGCGGCGGCGAGAAATTTAAATATTCCTTATGCTTATCCGGGATCTATCGTACCCAGAAGCCAAAGCAACCACGCAGTCAACTCCATCGAAGCAAGGTGTGATGTCAGACAAAAATTTAGTCTAATCGGGACTGATAAGGGCCCCAACTTTTTTTACTTGTTTTCAGCATCAATTGCTGTGAAGCCAACCCACCGGGGAAATTTTCAGATCCGTAGCTGGGTGTTTGTGGCTTTGAACACGCACTCGAGGACTCGTCAGAAACACCAGGAGATGGGACACACAAAGGTTTGTTTGCTTAAACGTGCTTTTCTGATCATCATACAGATTAATTACACCGAGGCTACCAACGTACATGTTGCACATTCATTGCGCAGCGGTGCTTTACAACGGCTTTGAACCGGCACCATTCAGAGGTCGTTTTGGCAGGGCTATATATAGTCGGTAGCTAGTGCAACCACAGAACACGTATACACTACCTTTTGCCTTTATCGTCCTGCGAGCATAAGCCTAAAGTGGTATGTTCAGTGTTCAAAGGGGAAAGACGTAAAAAGGATGTTCTTGCTATCGGCTGTGTATACCCACACCTAAGAGGCCTCCGAATGATGCCGGTTTCAAGCCGTTGTATAGTAATGTCTCGCAATGAGTATACGAGGTGTACGTCGATGGCCTAGGCGTATTTAATCTATGCGATAATGAGCCGAGTACCTTTATCAAATAGACCTCCCAATGCTCCTTATTTTCATGAACTTCTGTGCGTTGATCACCACACAGTGGATATGGCAGCGGGAAATTTAAAATGTGCGTCGTGCAAAGATGTCGAAAACGGTCAAAAACATTTTCTCTCTCGTTCACACCGAAGGCGGGGCGGCCAAAGCGGCGAGGCGGCAACGCCGGAAGCGGCAAAAACCTCCTCTCCAGGCGGCGAAGGCGGGAGAAAAACCAGACGGCAAGGGCGATAGCTCTCCAATCAGAGCGCCACGTAGCAGAGGCGCGCTGTGGCGCGGGTGTACGTTTGGGAGAAGCACTGACACGTCATAGCAACACGTGCGCGAAATCCCCGCCTCTTCAGGCATGTGGTCTGACCAGGTTCACGCACTCGCCGCTTCGGAAATCCCGCTTTGCCGCGCCGCCTTCGGTGTGAATGAGAAGAAAAAAATATAAATATTTGTTGTGCTAATCTGGTATCTATCGTACCCAAAAGCCATAACAACCACATGGTTAGCTCCATCAACGCATGGTACGTGTGACGTCAGACAAAAGTTAGGTCTGATCGGGGATGATAAGGGCCTCAACTTTTTTGGCTAGTTTTCGACGTTCATTGCTGTGAAGCCAACCTACCGGGGTCTGTATTGTGAAGAAGCCATGCACTGTGGTTACGAAGGCGGGAAATTTAAATATTCGTTGTGCTTATTTGATATATATCATTTCCAGAAGCCAAAGCGACCACGCAGTCATCTCCATCAACGCATGGTGTGACGTCAGACAAAAGTTTGGTCTTATCGGGGCTGACAAGGGCCTAAACTTTTTCGACTTGTTTTCAGCACTCATTGCTGTGAAGCCAACCAACGGGGGTCTGTATTGTGAAGAAGCATGCACTGTAGGTACGAGGGCGGGAAATTTAAATATTCGTTGTGCTTATTTGATATATATCATTTGCAGAAGCCAAAGCAACCACGCAGTCAGCTCCATCAACGCATGGTGTGACGTCAGACAAAAGTTTGGTCTTATCAAGGCTGATAAGGGCCTAAACTTCTTCGACTTGTTTTCAGCATTCATTGCTGTGAAGCCAACCAACGGGGGTCTGTATTGTGAAGAAGCATGCACTGTAGGTACGAGGGCGGGAAATTTAAATATTCGTTGTGCTTATTTGATATATATCATTTCCAGAAGCCAAAGCGACCACGCAGTCATCTCCATCAACGCATGGTGTGACGTCAGACAAAAGTTTGGTCTTATCAAGGCTGATAAGCGCCTTCAACTTTTTCGACTTGTTTTCAGCAATCATTGCTGTGAAGCTTTATCAAATAGACCTCCAAATGCTCCTTATTTTCATGAACTTCTGTGCGTTGATCACCACACAGTGGATATGGCAGCGGGAAATTTAAAATGTGCGTCGTGCAAAGATGTCGAAAACGGTCAAAACCATTTTCTCTCTCGTTCACACCGAAGGCGGGGCGGCCAAAGCGGCGAGGCGGCAGCGCCGGAAGCGGCAAAAACCTCCTCTCCAGGCGGCGAAGGCGGGAGAAAAACCAAACGGCAAGGGCGATAGCTCTCCAATCAGAGCGCCACGTAGCAGAGGCGCGCTGTGGCGCGGGTGTACGTTTGGGAGAAGCACTGACACGTCATAGCAACACGTGCGCGAAATCCCCGCCTCTTCAGGCATGTGGTCTGACCAGGTTCACGCACTCGCCGCTTCGGAAATCCCGCTTTGCCGCGCCGCCTTCGGTGTGAATGAGAAGAAAAAAATATAAATATTTGTTGTGCTAATTTGGTATCTATCGTACCCAAAAGCCATAACAACCACATGGTTAGCTCCATCAACGCATGGTACGTGTGACGTCAGACAAAAGTTTGGTCTTATCGGGGCTGATAAGGGCCTAAACTTTTTCGACTTGTTTTCAGCACTCATTGCTGTGAAGCCAACCAACGGGGGTCTGTATTGTGAAGAAGCCATGCACTGTGGGTACGAAGGCGGGAAATTTAAATATTCGTTGTGCTGATTTGATATATATTATTTCCAGAAGCCAAAGCGACCACGCAGTCATCTCCATCAACGCATGGTTTGACGTCAGACAAAAGTTTGGTCTTATCAAGGCTGATAAGCGCCTCAACTTTTTCGACTTGTTTTCAGCAATCATTGCTGTGAAGCCAACCAACGGGGGTCTGTATTGTGAAGAAGCATGCACTGTAGGTACGAGGGCGGGAAATTTAAATATTCGTTGTGCTTATTTGATATATATCATTTCCAGAAGCCAAAGCGACCACGCAGTCATCTCCATCAACGCATGGTGTGACGTCAGACAAAAGTTTGGTCTTATCGGGGCTGATAAGGGCCTCAACTTTTTCGACTTGTTTTCAGCAATCATTGCTGTGAAGCCAACCAACGGGGGTCTGTATTGTGAAGAAGCCATGCACTGTGGGTACGAAGGCGGGAAATTTAAATATTCGTTGTGCTTATTTGATATATATCATTTCCAGAAGCCAAAGCGACCACGCAGTCAGCTCCATCAACGCATGGTGTGACGTCAGACAAAAGTTTGGTCTTATCAAGGCTGATAAGGGCCTCAACTTTTTCGACTTGTTTTCAGCATTCATTGCTGTGAAGCCAACCAACGGGGGTCTGTATTGTGAAGAAGCATGCACTGTAGGTACGAGGGCGGGAAATTTAAATATTCGTTGTGCTTATTTGATATATATCATTTCCAGAAGCCAAAGCGACCACGCAGTCATCTCCATCAACGCATGGTGTGACGTCAGACAAAAGTTTGGTCTTATCAAGGCTGATAAGGGCCTCAACTTTTTCGACTTGTTTTCAGCAATCATTGCTGTGAAGCCAACCAACGGGGATCTGTATTGTGAAGAAGCATGCACTGTAGGTACGAGGGCGGGAAATTTAAATATTCGTTGTGCTTATTTGATATATATCATTTGCAGAAGCCAAAGCAACCACGCAGCAGCTCCATCAACGCATGGTGTGACGTCAGACAAAAGTTTGGTCTTATCAAGGCTGATAAGCGCCTCAACTTTTTTGACTTGTTTTCAGCATTCATTGCTGTGAAGCCAACCAACGGGGGTTTGTATTGTGAAGAAGCCATGCACTGTGGGTACGAGGGCGGGAAATTTAAATATTCGTTGTGCTTATTCGAAATATATCGTTTCCAGAAGCCAAAGCAACCACGCAGTCAGCTCCATCAACGCATGGTGTCACGTCAGACAAAAGTTTGGTCTTATCGGGGCTGATAAGGGCCTCAACTTTTTCGGCTTGTTTTCAACGTTAATTGCGGTGAAGCCAACCAACCGGGGTCTGTATTGTGGAGAAGTCATGCATTGGGGGTGCGATGGCGGGGAATTCAAATTTACGTTCTGCTCGTAATCTTGGGGAGCTCCAGACCCCCCCTCCTCAGGCGATGATTTTGCGAAGCTCCAGACCCCCCCGTGCCCGCCCCTGGAGCCACTTCATGATGACATTCCACTTTGTTGCTGTCGTTTTCATAGCTTCTCTCTTGTAGCGAGCCTGTTACTGTTTTATAAGAACAGAAGGAAGCAACATGTTACAACAACATTTTAGTTTATTCATACAAATAATATTTACACATGGTCATAAAGAGAGAGAACACTCAAACGTGCAGTGCAACCTATGGTACAAGAAAACACTCCTGGATCTCTCCATCGCCCACAAGAGATGTCACGAAGGCTAAACAAGGACTACTTGCTGCGAATGTTACACACTTTTTTGACATATGTAGTATGTATATCCCCAGACGGCCAAATATAAATGCGTGGTTTCTGGTCTAAGCTATGTGTAGTGATAGCTGGAAGCTCGAAATCGTGAGGGAGGAACCACATTAAACCACATCATATTTTGGGTGACGCGTCAATGTTGTGAACAGCTTAAACAACAGTCACACATGCATGCTATCATCACCTTTCAGAAGCCATTACAGCAAAGTAAAAGAATTCGTGCTTGTTTTGTGTTACCGGAGAAAAGGTGTACTGTAATCTCGTTTCTACGTGCTAAATCTGCGTCAAGTAAAAACAGGCTGTACTTTCGCTTTTCTTCCTCAAACTGTAACAACAGTCCTACGCTACCATCAAACGCTCGAAAGGAAAAAAAAAGGAAGTTTGGTTTAGGGAAATTAAGCCATTAACATTCCTTCACAAGGCTTGTTTCACTTGGTCTACAACAGATATTCATACAAATCTACCTTCTTTTTACGGGAGGCATCATTCACTGCAGCGTTCTAACACTTGAATTAGACGTACGATATAAACTCGCACATGTAGCTCTAGCATTTGGGGCTTCCACCCAATTCGCTATTGTAACGTACTGCATGAAATGAGTGCTGTGATGCATTGGGACACAACTTCTATATGTATATGCTCGCGGGTCTGAACGTGGTGCAATGTGTCTGCCAACAACTAAGGCTCAGCTAAAGTGCGCAAAAAAGTCATTGGTGCATCTAACAACTGTGCAGCAGCGACAGCTTTTACCACATTACGCGAGAGAAGAAAAAGCGAAGTTAGCAGGCTCCTCAACTGTGTTCTAGTTGTCACAGAAACAAAAAATAAAAAAGCGCTAATGCTCGAGGATTAAAGGGACACTAAAGAGAAATAATAATATAGTTTAGGCTGATATTAGGTGACACCGGGCATTGCTCGGGGCACTGTTTCAAAATAAACGTTTACTCCTCTCTCTCTCTTAGGCTGATAGGTTACCCTCTGAATACTCTAGTGCCGTTGATTTCACCGCCATTAGTTGATACAAAAATCAATGTCAGAAGTATCACTTTTAACTTTCCTGACGAAATCTTTGATGGTTACGTCCACGGATTCCCGTTCCTTATTTCTTCGTATTTTGATCACACTGTCTGATTACGAAATTCTCTTAAGTTTGTATTTCAAATTTGTGGTTCCCTCAAAAGATAACGTGCTTGATTTTTACTGGTTAAGATGATGACAGACGGGGGGTCATGGTAGACTCCATCAAAAAATCCATGACGTCACGGCGGCGACTGCTGCGGGAGCTTCATGGTGCCGTCGCCAGCCGCATTTTCTTTGCAACGTTTTCCCGCGTACCGAGCGTCTTCTCGTAGCAAGAAGCGTGGTGATCTTCGAATCGTGAAAAAACAGTCGACTAACACTAGAAAAAATTGTTTTTATCTTGAGGTGTCCCTTTAAGACGATGCTGCGCACGCGAGGGAAGACGACCACGGGTACACATCCAATACAGAAGGATCACGGGAAATGAAGAATACTGAGAGAGAGGGGGGGGGGGGAGTGGTAGCTGACTCGTCACTGGAAGACTGCAACTGCGTCCCTCGCGTTTCACGGAAGGTAAGAAGCCGCGGGTCAGGTCGTCCGGCTCGGGGAGCTTGCAGACGCCCCTGGTGTTGCCCGTCGCGGCGAAGCACACAGCCGTGTCGGGACAGGCGCAAGACTGTACGCAGCCGTGGCCCATCGACGTCTTCGATTGGGGGCACACTGGGCTGGGGCCTACACCGGCGGCAGCAGGGGCAGCAGCCTGCGTCACGGGGACCTGCTGGGAACCTGCAATATACCGATGCGGGCGAACAACATTAAAGCTAGGGAGAGAGGGAGAGAATAAAATGAGGGAAAGGCAGGGAGAAATCAGAGCACCCGGTTTGCTACCCTGCATTATAGGAAATGGAGGATGGGGAAGAAAGGATGGGAAAGAAAGCGAAGAGCGAAATAGACGCGCGAAAAAGGAAAACAAGAAGTAAGCTGGGGTGCCTTAGCCTATTGAATAGGCTGTTGCGGATCTCAGCGCTGTTCACAAGTAGTAGCTTCGAATCCCAGCGCTGATCACCAGTTGTTGCGGACCGGGGTCTACCCGACACGTCCCCTCTGACGTGGGTTGCTGAGACGTCAGGGTTACGTCGGACCCGGTCTACTTGTGGTAGCGTGGCTTAACTTCGGGTGGAGGAAACGAACGCTGACACGATGGGGATACGAAAAACAAACAGGTTTATGGCACTATTTACACTTATTTACAGCATAGAAAGGTTAGAGGTTTCACAAACCACGAGCGTGGTGGTTGAACCGTTACACGGTTCAGAGCAACGTCCCGCACTTTGCAGCGTCGTTATAAACCCTGTCGGGCTCCTTCTCCTTGATTGTGGAACGCTACTCAGACACACAAGACACCGCCCACAGGGCATCAGTCAGTAACACACTGTCCACCGAATAGTTATTGCACCTCTTGACGCAATGCTCCGAGGAGAGGGGAAATGGGGTTCTCTCCCGAAACGATTTGGCGGTTGGGTTGCTTCTTACATCTTTCCCAGGAAGGGCAGCCAACACAAAGTGGTTCTAAGAGAGAAAGGAAGAGGAAAATGAGCCCCGTAACAGTCTGCTTCAGCGAGCGACACCTCAACAGTAGCTCACACGGGATGGGGGTGAGGAGGGATTAAAAGGATAGGAATGAAGGTGTAGAGAGAAAGAGGCGTGAGGTAAGCCAGAGAGCGACGACATATCGAGAGGATAGGAGAGATAGGAAAGATGGAAACACGGTCACAGGAGTCCGAGGACGGGGCACCACTTGCGAGAGCTCTTGCCGGCGTCAGGAGATGGCGTAGAGCAAGTCCAGTCGGTCAGAGCTACACTGTCGTCGGAGGTCGGCGTCAGGAGATGACGTAGGGCGAGCCCAGTCGGCCAGAGGTGCGCTGACGTCGGAACTCGCGAGGGCACAACCGGTCGGCACGGAATCCAGCGAGCGAGTGGCAGCGAAGGAGCGTAGACACGACCTGTGCGGTCGGTCTGCTTCGACGTTTTGCTAAACAAGCCGGCTCGAAAGAATTGCTTGTAGGGACATTGGTTCACGGACCATCTTCTAATCTTTTCGTCGCTCCCCGCCGCTGGACGCTGGTTCCGAGAGAACTGGGGTTCGGGCGTGGGAGCGCTGCCCGGCTACGTTTCTCAGCGACAGCATGGTGCCTACGGACGCGAGTCACAACACGGCCACTACCACTCAAAAAGTTCAATAAGAGATCGTAACCGAGACATTTAAGCAAAGCGTGTAATGGTAGTACATGTTGCGTTTTTGCGTCCCAAAAGCACGATGTGACTACGAGGGACGCTGTAGTGCAGGGCACCGAAAATGTGGACTACTTGGGTTGCTGTAACGTGCACCTAAATCTACAAGTACACGCGCCTTCTGGCATTTTCGCCTCCATTAACAAAGCGAGTAGACATTGCTGTGGGACGAAAGGCGCAACGACGACGACAGACAAAATGAACACACACAGAGATTGTGACCTGGACAACATTAGTCGGATTGGGATTTAGTGATGACAATGTCGAAATTTTGTGTAGCCCAGTAAAACATTATTTGTTGCTGAATTAGGACAAAAATCCAACAATTGCGAGGGTATATGCTAAAAAGTTAATAAAATTTCCGGATTTGAGTGCCAAAACCAGAATTTCTGAGGCCCGCCGTGCTTGCTGGGGGCTGCTTACAACAGCCAGCTCAATGCGGCCACCATCACCAGAAATCGAACCCGCATCCTAGAGATCAGCGGCTCAGCCCCTAAGCTGGCACGAGGGGCAATGGATATTTTTACAGTACATCGAATAATAAGCGTTGTCGTCGAACACATTTCTTTATTCACCGATCTTCACCGTGATTAAGTACTCAAATACGGTGGCAAGGCAGGCGCCAGCGTGACATATCGTTACCACAACTTTGTTTTCACTCTACACGTAGTACGTCAACCAGCTTAAGTGATTATATCACTGCTACCGATTCAGAGCTCGTTGAATGACATGCTTTTCGGGCTACACATCCTCTATTTATGCAGCCTTCGGAAGCAGGGGCATAGTCAGAATTTTTGTTCGGGGTGGGGAGGGTGGTTGAGTCAATATTGAAGAATAGCGGGCATACTCGATGTGACGTTAATGCTCGCGACAAAGAAACATTATACGCGACTGGGTCAAGGAAATGAAGCTGCTCAAGTGAACAAACGCGTAAACAAAGAAGTAAATAAAAATCCAGCAGCCCTCCTCTATAGAGTAGAAGTGCCAAAGGATAGATGTAAAAGAAAGTCACAGTTTCAGCGCAAGGGTGAACGAAAGAATGTGATAGAAACAACTTGGAATGTAACACCGAGAACGGCAAGCAGATCGAAACACTGCAGCGCGCTGCTCATGCACAAATGATACACGAAAACAACAGACACAGGAGGAGAGCGAACTAACAACGTTTACTGCTCGCCACTTAACGGGCTGTTTAAACAAAAACGATGCACGAAACACAATCACAGGTACAGATGAGTGCGAACTAACAAGTGTCCCAGATGTTATAATTCGCTGTGTGCGAAATGCGCGCTCTTTTCCCAAACTAGGCCTGTGAAGCGACGGAAGTGACCTTTGTGTGGTCGGCAACTAACCGTTCCGGTTAAAGCCGAAAGCACATTATTTCTCCCCACCAAAGGCTAAGCGCGCGCACACACGCATCTACCCACCCCCCCTCCAATTTATGGGACGATGTACGCGTGGGAGATAAGCACGTGTCAGCGTATCGTGACGAGCTGGGCGCCGAGCGTTGGCGTCTTTTTTTTTCTTTCTTGAGTGTTATTATATGCAGATACGTATACATATACGGTGAATGACGGCGGCAGCGACGACGGCAAAAAACCAGCAGAGATTGTCCATATAATTGCTATCGCAATAAAAAAAAAATGGCCCCACCTCCCCGAAGGGAATCGTAAGGAAATGCGAATGCATAGCGTCCATAGCAGCGTTTAACACTTGAGAACCCAGCGTTAGAAGAATAACCGCCCAGCCTTCCTTTCTCTCTCTCTCTATTTTCTTAGACCGTGCAGCCAATAGCGCCGTTCGCCGCACGTGGCGTTTTTTTTGTCGCGAGAAACGCGGTATGCGTTTCCAGCTCTAGTAGCTAGCGTGGACGGTTAATTATACTATGAAATGAACAAAAACAGCGTCCTCAGCGTTGGCGTTTCACAGCGGCGTCTCGAGCACACATTTCCGGATGTTCTTGGGAGGCGCCCAGCCAGCGAACGGTCGATAGTGTGGCGCGAGCGGACGGGAAAGTGGGGAGCAGGGAAGAGAGAGCGATAGGCGACAGATGTGGTGAAGGCTCCGGTTGCTAGGGACGCGCGCGCCCGCAGCTGTTGCTATGGGAGAGGGCGGTGGACGGATACCGACGTACGCCTGACATAGCCCGACTAAGAAATGCATTCGCATTTAATAAGCACTCTGCGATGTGACAGCTTTGATGGTACTTCCGAGTTGGCAATCGTTTCTGCACTCTTAGAAATACCCAGCCAAGCCCCTACGTGAAGCAAAAAAAAAAAAAAAACAAGACTGGTGCTGCCGACTTGGCAAAACCCGCCTACTATACATAGACATTGTCAATAATCCTGATCGAATGAATACGTGGATGGTGCAAAATAACTTTTTTTACCTAAGATAAGATGGAACTATGGCAGATTTACAGCTCTCTTCACATCACATCACATACCTCTTCATACTAAATCATATCTGTCACTGCGATCTTTTAAACACAACATGGGAAACATTGTTAAAGGAACCTTTTGTTCACCTGTAATAAATTTATCGTCATCATCACCTCACAGTTCTGTATTGGTATTTTTAAGCTTTGCATAATGCTACTATGGTATATATATTTCTTTTTTAGTATAGAGCATTCTGTTTTGATTGCGTTATCAATTTGCTCGCTTCTTTTTGCTGCCGTTTGCTTTTATCTACGCCACTAATTATAGGAGGTCCCTCTGACAGTCTCGTACTTTGGGACCTCCTGATTCTGTATGTATATGTAAAAAAAGAAAAAAGAAAAAAAAGAAAAAAAGGGCATATACACACAAATGTGCTACGCGCATTATATTTTTCCCTGATGTTATAGAAGCGTGGAATAAATTGCCGCGACATATTGTTGAAAATTCTGACGTTAAAAAATTTGAATGTGCTCTTGATGTTTACTTTGCCGAGCAATGAATATGCTATTGTGTTATTGTTCAAAGTGCTGAAAATATCAATGTCTGTATTTACTTTCCATATCCTATGCTTCCCTCCCTGTAATGACCCTCAAGTGAGGGTTGACAGTATAAATAAATAAATAAATAAATAAATAAATAAATAAATAAATAAATAAATAAATAAATAAATAAATAAATAAATAAATAAATATTTCTGTGTCCCCCCCCCCTCAACACACACACCACATCATCATCTGCTTATGCGCCTTCCATCAAATGCATGACACGAGCTGTCAGATGTACGGCAGCATAAAAAAGTATACACTGATAATGCAAGCATGGAAGTTCCGGAGTGTCTATGCAGGGGAGATGGTTGGGGAGGGCATCAGCGATACCAATATATGATATAATATATTAACCTGCTGAGACGAAGGTATACTTGGTTCAGATTTAGACAGGCTAGATGTTGCCAATGTCAAGATAAGCGCACATCAGAGGTCCCGAAGGCATTAGACTGCGACTATTTGCTATTCTGAAGATCAAAGCAGTTCGCGCTACGTCTGAAGGCGAGTGCTCGCCGATGATGAAGCGGCCCCAATCATGACCGGAAGCCCCACGTAAGAGTATCATCCATTATTTATTGCGAATATTTAGCAGATGTTGGCAGCCTTGTAAGCGGAGGTCCAAGTTGCATGAAAGCAGACACAGATGGGGCAGACGGCCAATCTGAGGGGCTTTGCAGGTAAAAGGAAGACAGTTTGGCGAAATGACAATAGCTTGCGAAACTGTATTACAAATCATGTTTACATTCAGTGCGCATGCGACAAAGCTGCAATCAAGCATGTAGGTTTTTCGCGCGAATTCCATGTTAAGCCGGAACTGTCATGTATGCTTTCAGATAGGAAGCGATGAGAGAAAGAGGGGGGGGGGGAGGCGTTGACGTCGTACGTGGGGCCGCATAATACTACCGCACGGGGCACTAGTTACCGACCCCTGGTATAGAGCCATGGAAGGGAAACTCGTTATGTGCCATCTTCCTATGTAGTAGGGGCAACGCGCACCTATTTTTCATTATTATTATTATTATTATTATTATTATTATTATTATTATTATTATTATTATTCACCAACCACTGAACTGGTCTGGATGTGCCTTCGCATGAAATAATGAACGAAAATTTCTCCCAACACATAAAACAAAACAGAAAGAAAAGACGAATTTAGTTATAGAACTATTGCACCAAACTTGAAGATGTCTGCTTTAATTAAAAGAAATAAGAACAGTTGCTTTAGGAACTAATTTTTTAGGCCGTCAACTATTACCAATGAAACGTGGTTTTTACAACAAAATAAAGATAAAAGACAACAAAATACAACAAAATATAGATACAAAAATTCGGGGAGGGCAGAGAGTTGATTGATACGTGGGGTTTAACGTCCCAAAACAACCACATGAACATGAGGGACGCCGTAGTGGAGGGCTCCGGAAACTAATTCATTAACGTGCACCCGAATCTGAGCACACGGGCCTACAGCATTTTCGCCTCCATCGAAAATGCAGCCACTACAGCCGTCACTCGATCCAGCGACCTGCGCGTCAGTAGCCGAGTACCTTAGCCACTAGACCACCGCGGCGGGGCGATGTTTTGCCCCCTGGTTACGCCACGGTTTGAGCGTGCTACTACTAAACACTCAGCAAACGCTGACAATTAAGTTCACGTACCTGTTTGGCACTTAGTGGCCGAGCCTGGCTGCTGGTTCCTACTGTCGGCACAAAGGTCCTTCGGTGCTTGCTGAAGCTGCTCGGCGGGTTGCTGCGGCTGTTCGTCCTGCTTGTGGTATTTGGCCGGCTCCGGCTGCTGCGCAGACTCTTGTGGAGCTGCGCTTCCTTTTGAAGCTTGGGCTCTTTCACCTGCTTCACTTTGTCGACCTTCTTGGCGTACTTCGACTGCTTCTGCGAGATAAGAACGTTTACTGAGCATAAAACGAGACACGGCTGACAATCTCAACAAAATCACCGGACGTTCACAGAGAGATATGCCGCCATGGCCACATTTGTGTTGAGCACGCGATAAGCCGTTTTTCTTTTTTGGCTCTGCAGGACTCCATCTCGAGGGCAGCTTTGGGTTAAGCACTACTATTGGCTGCACTATGGCCCTGAAATACCGCTTCAGAACTCGAGACTGCCTCAAAGTGCCACCCCACAGGGCAAGAACCGGCTCCTCGCGCGCTACACAGACGTGGCTGCCACTGTACATATATACTATATCGTGATAAATATGAGCTCGAACAACCGGGCACGTGGCGAACAGCCTCGACCGCTTTCTTCAGGCCCCGCCGCAGTGGTCAAGTGGCTCAGGTACTCGGCTGCTGACCCGCAGGTCGCGGGATCGAATCCCGGCTGCGGCGGCTGCATTTCCGACGAAGGCGAAAATGCAGTAGGCCCGCGTGCTCAGATTTTGGTGCACGTTAAAGAACCCCAGGTGGTCAAAATTACCGCAGTCCTCCACTACTGCGTCTCTCGTAATCATATGGTGGTTCTGAGACGTTAAACCCCACATGATGAATCAATCAATCGAACCAGATGATTCGAAGCGGCCACTGTAGGAAACAAAGTGGAAAGCGAAGCGCTGCTTCCGCTAGCTGTTGAGACGGGCCCGCCTCGATATCGTTGCTGCAAAAGGCAGTTTGTAGCATGTAAAAAGCAGTTAGCGGTGATATGACCTCACATCAACGCGCACAGCCACAACCAATCAGGCTATGCAGCTGCAAAGATATCGGTTGTGACGCAGCCTGCCGTGACGCACAGGTAATGCTTTTATTACATCTAGGTGGTGTTCGCTGAGTATTTTGACGCGCATCTTTCACTTTTGTTTTTTGGTGCATTTTCGTTTCGCGTTATCATCGCTGGCGGCCGATGGCACGCAATCAGCAGCCGTTTCCCAGCAGCGATCACGCGGGAGTGATAACAGTCAGCGGATGAGCACCCTCCTTCCCCCTTCTGGTTTTGGCAGCGCCATTCACCCCGTTATCTCGGTATTGAGGCTCTGCCACGCGATCCCATATTCGCGCTCATATTGCTTGCGATAGTACATATTAGATAGCTTCAGAAAAACGCTTGCGACCAACGAAACGTTAACGCTTTACTTGAAGCAATAGCGCAGTCATCACTGCATGCGCCTGCTCCGTACGATACGCTAGTTTCTGCGGTTCACGTGCACTATGTTAAAGTGCGTTCTATGACGAGCATAACGTTCGCTAAAGAATAAACGGTTTCAGCGGTTTCACAGCGTCAGCTTTGCTTGAGCACCGATAGACTATTTCCGCAATTTCGCGTGCGCACCTACAATATGATATATCGTCCGACACATGCGCAAAGTCTACAAACGCTATGGTGAAGTACTGCGTACACCATTATAGACTATTTTACAGATCGGTGCCGCCGTATTGGGCAGTTAAATTCACTGTTTCTTATCTTGCGCAACTAAACGAACAACGCTATCGGTATGGGCCTTACACACATGAAAACTGCTCGGTTGGTGCATTAGACGTTTCCTAACCTCCTCAGTATCGTGCCATGAGAATAAATAAACAAACAAACAAACAAACAAAAAAACATTCGTTAAGGTGGCGGAGACTATTGGTCTTACGCAAAATAGTCTACAAAACTGATTTGTCTAACGTGGCGACTATACCGTAGCTCTTGGTTCAGTGAGCATTTTTGCAACTGTTACGCTCTAGCTGCGCATTGTTTATAGTCAGCAAGCGTTAAAATTATAGTTTTCGCTAGCTCTAAGCTCACCTGAAAAGTTGGCTGTGGGTGCCTGGCTTCTTAAGTCTCAAAATAATATCCTGGGTTTTACGAGCCAAAACCACGACGCGATTACGAGGCACGTCGAATCGGATGGTTGGGAAAATTTTGACCAGCCGGTGTTGATAACTTGATACAGCCCCGTCGCGGGGCTCTAGTGGCTAAAGTACTCGGCTGCTGACCCGCAGGTCGCGGGATCGAATCTCGCCGGCGGCGGTAGCATTTCCGGTCGAGGCGAAGATGCTACCGCACGTCAAAGAACACCAGGTGGTCGAAATTTCCGGAGCCTTCCGCTACAGGCGTCTCTCATGATAATATCTCGGCTTTATGATATTATTATTGATCCTCAAAGGAAATCTCGTGCCCGTAAGCTCCGCTGATCACCCACCTTTAGGCAGTACAACGGACTGGATTTTGTTTTTGTTCGATTTAGAAAGTATGAAAATTCAACCACTTGACTTTTTTAATTCCAACAAAGCTGCAACTGTTTCAAGGAAGATGTGTTTAACTTTCGTATTAGGATCGAATGCTGCCCGGAAGACGGATCAAATAATTCGATTGTTTGATTGATTGATATGTGGGGTTTAACGTCCCGAAACCACCATATGGTTTTGGCGACGTTAAAGAGACGCCGTAGTCGAGGGCTTCAGAAATTTCGACCACCCGGGGGTTCTTTAACGTGAACCCAAATCCGAGCACACTGGCCTACAGCATTTTCGCCTCCGTCGAAAATGCAGCCGCCGCAGCCGGAATTCGATCCAGCGACCCAGTGCGGGTCAGCAGCCGAGTACCTTAGCCTCTAGACCACCGCGGCGGGGCGATCAAACAATTTGCTGCTTTCATGGTGTAGCAAAGGAATTGAGACGAACTCTAATACTATGTTCGAAACGTATACGAACCTCTTGCGTTGCAGCTTGGTCTTTGCCCAGTTTCTCCTTTTGCTTCTGTTGTTTACGGCCCTTGCCGTCAACTGCTGCCTCCTTGCCGGCTTGCTTGTTCTGCAGGGTGACGTATAGCAGACGATGAGAACGTCGTAAATGCGCGCATTTGCATCTTCCCGAAATCATCGTTTAAAAGTAGGAAAAGGTACTTCCTCTATAGTTGAATAGAATCTAAGATGTTCAGAGAGGCTCCGACAAATGACTAAAGCACGGCGGCACATCACCTTCGCGTCAACTAAATGTAAGTGAATGGTGAAGAGGGCGAAAAGTCAGCCCCGTAAATTGATATTGTAACTGGGTTGCGACGTGGACGAAGGTAGCATACTCGATGCTCAGATTAAACTTTATTCGGTCGACCTTTCGGCCAGCAAACTGAATGTCAGATTACAGCAACACACGGGCACTGAGAGCGGCGAACAGAGCGTCGGCGGCCGGCGATCAACTGAAAAGCGGCGAAGCGCGGAGACATCATTTATGCATGTGTCGTCGAATATTCCAGCCTAATCATCACTGCTCTTCGCGCAAGCTTTGGAACAATCTCGAGTGTTCGCGTCCATAGCGGGCAATTGTAACAGAACAATCTACAAATCGTGATCGCGTACATTCTTGACCCAGGATTTGTGGGCGAGAACCGAATCACACAAAAGTGAAAATAAGAAACTCGCGTGACATTGTATATATATATATATATATATATATATATATATATATATATATATATATATATATATATATATATATATATATATATATATACACTAAAAGGGGGAGGGGGCACTGCGACTGACAAACATTTGCCCCCGCTCCCTTCCGAAGGGGAAAACTGCTCACGCTTATAGATTTACTTACATTCAAGTGAGAATCATTACAATTTAGTTAAGAAACTGCAAACTATGTTCCCCGTGCTTTTATTAGTCTAACTGTCTCTCGTTTTCATTAGCTTATAAAACAGAAAACGAGCCTCTCGGGTAATTCACAAACTTTCGTACTCGCTATGCGTAGTAATATACTCCTGAACACCCCAAGTTTACATTCCCCCACATTTGGTGAGTGTGTTGGGTTATAGGCGGTAATTTCCCAGTTTACGCCAATCGCCCATTCTCTCGGAACTAACGCAATGACTGTCACCTTGTATTGCTGCTTGTTTTTAGCTGACTTGGTGGCCTCGAGTCCCTTCTGGGTCGACTGCTCGCCATCTTGCTGCGGCTGCTCCTGGTGACGGGACTGCTCGCTGCGCTCGGACGCCCACGCAGAGCTCTCGTGCTGCTGCTTCTTGCCGTGCTTGCCCTTGCGCCTGTGCAGGCGAGAGAACGAGATTATGTATACCACAGTACTTAAAAGCCAGTACACCGTTGAAGTTTTCCAGAGAAGCTTGCCATGGACCATAGAATTCGATGACTGTGAGGGGAACAATGCAAAAACGTGACGGAGAAAGATTGAACACACGACACAAGCGCTGACGGACAACAGTCTGATGAACAACAGTGTGTAAATTTACACACAGTTGTTCGTCAGCGCTTGTGTCGTGAGTTCAATCTTTCTCCGTCTCGTTTTGCGCCGTCGCTTTCAGTATCATGTACCAACTGGCCCTTCAAGAAACCATTCTGCAATTCGATGACGCTACGCAAAAAAAAAAAAAAAGGCACCGGCGAATTTATAAAAAAAAGCGACACCCAGAAGCGCACTCGTTATACGCGCATTTGCATACCACCGTTTTCTAATAATTGATGCTTTCTCTATCATGGGATCATCGGCAATCAGATATTTCTGATATGAAAATTTGGTCAACTTGACGTTGCCACATTACATTGTTCTTTTGATATGAACGCATGAAGGTCATTGGCTGTGTTCCAATTTTAGACAGCAGCGTTGACGGTACGGCGACACATTAATATACAAGACAGGATAATTAACAGTTTAACAGGTATAATAAAGAGGGCTAATAAACAAGAAAATAAAAGTAGTTTGAACGTGCCAAGCTTCGCTTGCCTCCATTTTCCCTATACGGCAAGTGTTCCTGAAATGTTTTATCTGTGTGTTTTTTTCACGTTGTGACCATCTCCAGTTTTACACATTCCTCCATGTTAACTCGCGTCCTCCTTCCGAAGTTCTGAAATCCCTAACCTGCATTTCAAAAGTGTCTCCCCGAGCGACCCATTAAGAGATCGCGCGCACGTGGCGCGCGCGATTAATGAGCCGAGTCGCAGCTCTAGGCGAGGAAGTGATAAAGCGAACGGCGTCACGGCTGGTCTGGCCGAAGAAACCGTACGAAACTCGCTGGGAGCGCAAATACACACAGCGTAACGAATGATGACGGGTTACAAAACTCGAGGCCGGAGACGCGGCGGTGTTACCGTGTTCTGTTTGTTTTTTTTTTCCTGAAGCTGTCATCCAAGAGTGTGAGAACCAGGCTATTAATGATTACGCGCACTTGGTGATGCTCTTCAGTGAGTGCATGTTTGCTTTGGCGCTTAAGGCGTCTGAACGTCCCCAGGCGTCTGAACAACGGTAGTGGTAAAGGAGCAGGGGAGGGGGGAGGCGCCATCTCTATAGTCATGTAATGTGGGCGCCGAATGATGCTCCAAAGATGATTCCTATACTAAGTTGGAGCTCTCGCATCATTGTTTCAAGTTGCAGGCTTAGTTGGGGCCCCGCGGGCTTTGACGACAATAGCGACTGGTAACCCTGATACTGCATCCGACCTTTCCTCACGACACTTACTTCCTACATTTACTTCCGATACTAGTTCTACCCCTTGGAAAGCTGGCGACCAATGGCAGGACAGTGTGAGAAGCGCGTCATCAGTTCATTTTCACGTTGGTATCCATTGGGAAGCTTGCTTTCTTCTGGACTCGACGAAGTGGGTTGTGTTAGAGGGAGGGGGGTGTATATGAAGCGAAACTTGGTCCCCCTCATTTAGAACCCTGCACCCGCCTATATATGCTGATGACCCACAATGTGTGTGAAAGACAGAAAAAGCGAAGCACGTGTTTGAACAAGACTCCATCGCTAATTTGTCAGGAAACAGAGTGTGCCGCACGTACTTGAAGATTATGGGAACTATTCAACGGTTGCGGAGAAGCTCTCCTCGCACCTTAAAATGCACAAAAGCACGTCTGAAATTTCTCGCGACCCCCTCCCGCTATCGCGTTAATAGATCGGCCCATTAACGGACTAAAGTTCGACACAGCTGGGCACTTTTCACGCTTCGATACACGCTCGTCGGATCTGTATGCGATCGTCAACTGTATAGCTCCGGAGGAGAGAGTCCTGTTGGTGCCGTATGGTTATTTCTTACAACACATCTTTGTTCTGTATAGGCAAAATGAAGGAACTATCCCTCCTGAGGAGGGGGCTTTTATTGAGGCAGGGTTCTGTGTTCCGAAGGCCCCTGCACCAAACTATTATTCTGTCAAGGAAGAATTATTCAAGCATGCATGATCAACGAGTATTTGATGTTAAAACTTAGTTCAGAGTAATATCGTTACTTCTAAAGCACAAGAGCATTGCGATGTCATTGGTTTCTGTCAGCTCTAGTTTGCAATGTATATAGTTTGAATAAATTTTCAGAGAATTCTACAAAAGCAACGAGTAATGTAATTTTGCCATCTCTGAGATTAAGCAGCTTTTAACGCCTTGCTTCTCTGGACAGGCGGCACAAGAGCACGTTGTTTGTGCGGCATGTCCACAGAAGATCACTTAAGTCAGCTACATTTGATCTCTCTCTCTCTTCATATCTCTCTCTCTCTCTCTCCCTCTCTCTCTCTCTCTCACTCGCTCTGTTTCTATTTTTACACCTCATTCCATTCCCCGAGTGTACGTTCGCAAGCTGGGAATACTCTAGTTAACATCCCGGCCTTTCCTGTATTCAAGCGTTCTCTCTCAGCAAGAGACATAGGGGGCCGTAAACGTTGCATGGCTACCGCAAAGCATGCAACCTAGAGAGGCTAATTCTCCACGCAGTCAACGAAAGATTCAGGGCAAGTGGAAAAGCGTGAGCAAGGGTCCGATTTCTTGAAAAAAAAGAAAGAAAGAAGAAGCCCGGTGACAGAACAGGAAAAAAGAAATGTAAGAAGAAAACGGTAAGTAAACAAGGAAGAAGCCCGACTGTGGCCATTACGGTGGCCAGTGTCGGCTCCTAATTGGCCGCCAGGGCGGCTGCCATCCCGCTCGTAATTGGATTGGCGACGACCGCCTGTTGAGGCGGCCTTAGCAGCAGCAGCATGGCCTCGCGTGTGCGTGTGTATACGGGCGTCTATTAGGTGTCGTTACGTCGGGGCGTCAATGTTTCAGCCGTCGCTCGCAGGCTTGACGACGCGGTTTGGGGAGGAAAAAAAAAAGAGCTGCGAAGTCCCCCATTTTTCGGGCTTCACACTTCACGGGAAGCCCATAGGCCAACACGTCGTTCGCGACCCCTTCCTGTGTTTCTTTTTTGCTTCTTTTCTAGGTCGCCTCCATTGCTGGCGTTCCATGTGTGCGCAACGGAGCTGAGAAGAGGAGGAAGCGGATGGGGAGAATAAGGGAGAGGAGAGAGGGGATGTAAACGGAAGGGAGGCCATCGCACGCGTGGGGATGCTTCCCCCACAGCGACCCGTGTTGTTCCAACAGTGCTGTTCTCGCGCGCGACGTCCAGGCGCCAGGAAGCTGGGGATGAGAGGGAAGAGGAGGAGGCCCTATACGAGCGCATCACCAGTGGCCGCAGGGGCTTCCTTCGTTTACGGTCGCCGCAACCCATAAACGAACGGCGGGCCGGGGTCGGTCGGGACTGCACGTGCGTGGTATCAGACCTGCGCCGTAGGGGAGATAGGGAAAAAGGGAAAAGGAGCAGGGCAACTGGACGTCCGGACGTACATTACGACCGGCGACGGCATAATGCGACGGTAGAATATGCACGCGGGGACCGAAAGTCTGGAGTTGGGAAGACGGCGGCACTCGGATGATGGCATGTAGAGAGTGAATGTGAATGTGGTTGCGCGAAGAATACGGCACAGCAGATACAGAGGAGACGAGTTGGTCGGATTTACGTGAGCATGCCATGGGATAGATAGATAAACAAGTAAATGGTTGCGTGCACGCACGCACGCACGCACGCACGCACACACACACACACACACACACACACACACACACACACACACACACACACACACACACACACACACACACACACACACATTTGACCTTTCAGTGACCGAAACAAGCAAGCATGTTCGAATTGAAAAGTTGGAGGCAGCCGAGTTTATGCACAATTGCACTTGGAAGAATCCTTTTAGCATATCTGTCGGACACATGAATGTCCTGCTACATTCCGTCAGGGATTCTGACATCACTGTTCAGCCTAACCTAATGTTTTTTGGCCGATAACCACGAAACTTTGACCTTTAAGATGCGAAGTATTTCCACTAGCCTAGAAAAAGTAGACATAGTTCGAGCGAAACCAGCTGCTAGCACGACTATATTTCTTGGGTAAAGTGCGGGCGCACCGCGATTCAGCGTGCGAAACTCGCGTTTCTCCGTAGGTTGTAACCGAGTGTATGCGATAAGACAGGCAGACCGCGAGCCTTACGCCGGATTTACCAACGGCTTCCGCTGCCACCGCGTCTTGTAAACACAGGCTGAAAACAAATGCACTGGTAGGGGGAAGGACAAAACGATCGCACAGTAGCAAAGGATGCAGCGCCAGATACGACACTGAGCTCCGAACATCCTTAATCTTCTTTTCTACTTCGAGTCTTGTGCCGCGTTTTACTATAGCGCGCTCGACAAGTTTTCAAATGCAAGGACAGAGACCCGCGCTTCATTTCATCTCTATTTAAGGGAACGTGCTTCGCACGCACATCTGATGAACCAGTGAAACAAAGATAGTGAGGGAAAAAGGAAGAAACGATGGGGAAACATTCCCAAAGTAGGATGGAAGCATCAGACCGTCTGGAAGCTCTCGAATGATAGGCGCGGTGCATCTTTGTTCTGGTCTTGTTTTTCTAGAATATTCTGTGTTGCCTGGAGGACTAGGCAGGGAGATAAAGACAAGAAGAGCAGTATCTATTTGCACAAAAAAAGAAACAAATAAAAAACAACAAACAGCACTGCATGTCGGGACGGAGTTGACGACCGCGTAGATGCTGCTGGAAGTGCGATGTTTCTTGCATAATCGTGCCTCTCTTTTACAACTCAGATACGGAAGAAAGCAGAAAGGGAAAGAAAGAAAAAAAACTATACTAGGATACTGAATTGTAAAGGAACAGCGAAATGGCAGTATGCAGGGGCAAAAAAAAATAAATATAATGGATCAGA